AAAAAAAAAAAAAAAAACTCTGGAGTTTTTGTTTGACAAAAAAAGAGTGAGTTACAAATTAAATCACATCCTTTGACGCGGTTATTTGAACATCACCTATTATATAAAATATTTTAATACCCAATCCAATCGACATAGACAATTATTAGTATAAAGCTAATGGACGAATATTATTTTTAACAAAAAAATAATGAAATACAATCTAAGATAACCTCTCCACTCTCTTGCACGGCACATTTGCATGATGATGACAAAAGGTGACCCATCATTTTCATAATGATGCTCCAAAGCAACCAACTGATCAACATATCGCCCCCAAACAGTGCATTCCTTTATATTCCCCCTAGAAAATGTAGACAAAATATTTATTTCTTAAATTGGAAATCGGAAATAGGAAGTTGTTTTTATAAACATGAAATCGGATTGTTAAATTTTTTAATTAATTCAGAAATTGAAAAAATTAAATAAGAAAGCGGAATTTTTTTATTAAATTAAATTGGATTGTTAATTTTTTTTTTAATTAATTCGGAAGCAATAAAACTGAAATAGGATATTTTTCAAGTAAATCGAAATTTTTTATTAAATCGGACAGGATCTCTTAATTTTTTCTTTTTTTTTTAAATTAATCGGAAATCGGAACTATTTATAAAAACCAATCGGCACAATATCTTTTAGCACGACTTTAACTAAAAAACATATAAAAGGTTTGAATAAAAAAAATAAATATATAGGGTACATATGTTTACTCCAAGTCCATAATAGAGAATACTATCATTTGTGTCGGAACTCCCTTGACAACTTCGATTTGAATAGGTTGTATTGAAACAGCCAATCCAATAATATCTATACCATCATAAATAAACAAATTTTATTCAAAATGTAACACATAAAATAGTGTTGTATATTACTGATTCTATATATATGTAAAAATAAAATTACGAAATAGAACATAATGAAAAGAATGTTAACGTACCAAACAACATGGCTTCTTCAATATTACGAACATCCATCAAGGTTAGGAAGTTCTAAACTCAAAACGATGCATAGGAAAATCCCCTTTCCATTTGACAATCTTGGTCATGCCATGGATGATGATCCTCCATTTTCCTATAGTCGATTTATAGAGGTCAATATTGCTTTCAACTTGATAGTTTGTAAAGACATACTTTCCACCTTCTTCAATATCGCCAATGAATTTTTGAATATTCACAGGCCGAATTATGCCACTAATTCGTAATCCCTACGACAATACATATTGAATAATTTAATAAACACAATCATATAAATTTAAATTTAAATTTCAATGCTTTATGAACGTGTAATATATTACCTTAGAATCGTGAAAGATAATTTCAAGAACATTTCGGTAATTGCGCACATCTTCAACTCGTTGGAACATCCTAATTATGCGTATCTTGATCGGCGGCTTATTGAATCTTTGGATATCCTTGATGACTCCAAAATTCAAAAGTATTTGGAGTGATGTTGTAAAAGCTTCGTGAAAAAATAGTGTTGTGAGATGTATTGGATGTCGAATATTTTTTGTTCAATTTTGGTGATGTTTATATAGTCAATTGTATGTAATATACACGACTCACGTGGGTTTCAAAGTCACTATCCGATAAGATTTTTTTTTTAAAATTTGATTATGATTATGATTCCTTAAATAAAAATGAGTTTGTTATAAAAAAAATCCCGCGGATGTATGATTCCTTATAAAAAAAGGAGTTTGTTACTTTTGAAATTGGTAACAAATCACGTTAATAATTATAGGATAATATGCAGAGATTCCTTACCAAAATATTTGTTACGTTTTTTGTTAAAAAAAATAAAACAAATGCGGTAGTGATTTAGTTGTGTGGAACTTTCAAATACGTTGAAGATATTGTTGCCCAAACAAAAGGAGTTTGTTACTATTGAATTTGTTAACAAAGTACAATCATTATTCTACGAATTTTTTTTTTAGATTCTTGAAACAATAAATTCCTACAAATTCGGAAATAATTTTGTAAAGCAATCTGTTTGGACATATTTTATTCCTTATTTCTTTTGGTTAATGAAATCAGAAATAATTTTGTAAAGCAATCCGTTTGGATATATGTTATTCCTTAATTTCTGATTATTAATTTAATTATTATTCCTTAATTTATAATTATTATTTTAAGTGTGGGACCGACATGTTTATTTTTTAAAGTAGTAAATAGTACTTTAAGTAGTAAGTCAAAAATTTATTTTTTTAGTCAATTTTACTATTTTTGTATTTTTCCAACAACCTCTTTATATTACTATAGATTCTATGACTCCTTTATTTGTCAAAGGTCGGGTAGAAACAATAACTTCCAACTCATGTCATGTTTTCCAATTTCAATACATCAAACACTCCATGCGTGTTACTATGCTTTCCAATGGGATCACTCTTCGAATTCCAAATTACAAATTTTCTTACTAATTGTTAATAAAGCTCAAAATGCCTGTCCGTAATTAATGCGATTTTTTTTTTCCTTTTTTCTTTTTGGGTACAAATCAATCAATGAGAATTTTAATTAAAAAAAAGGTTAACCTTAGTTAATTAATGCGATTACTAGGTTAAAACTGCTTACCACTTGAGCCAACTCCTGTTGATTTTGTGACTTTTTTTTTTGTGCAAAGAGAAGAGGCAAAAGCTTAAGACCATCATAGAGCTATATTCCGTGGGTAAGCAACGCCAATAAGTCGTGTTGTAGCCACAATTTCACTACTGATGCGAGATCCGATAATCTCTGGCATCCAGTAGGGCAGCAATGAGACAAAGAGGCTAAACAATCGGCCTCATAGCCTGTAGCCACGATTTTGTGACTTTTGTCCAACAAAATTTATATATGTACATTCAAAATGGAAATCATAATTTTGCACGCTACAAATCACATCACTTTAATTAAAAGCAATAACCGGCAAATTTACACATCATTTTTGGTCTTTCATTATATCAAACTGCTGTATCAAAGCAGTTTTATTCCCAATATGAAAAACTATAAAAGTAATAAATTTATTATATTTTTTTTTTTCAAAAATAATGCCATAACTAAGGGATACGCGCGGGTCCCAAGGTAGAAAAAATGTTTCCACATTGAATATTATTTGCATGCATGATCAAATATGTCACTAACGCTGTATTCCTCGGGCTCGAACACGAGACCACTGGTTAAGTTGGAAGAGACCCAAGCCATCTCATCCAAGCGCTGTTGGGTTAAAACTCTTGAGAGAGAGCTTTGCCGCTCTTGTGGTCCTACCCGGCTCGATTCCGAATTAGTCGGTTCCCCTGTGGATCCAGAAACCGGAAAGTCTCTGTACTAAAAAAAAAATATGTCACCAACATTTAGAATGGAAGAAACATGAGAATATGTCACCAACTTGAACATTATAAGAGTAAAACTGAACTTTATTTATTTCCTTCTCCATTTTATTTCATATAAAAACACACTTATTACACATACACACAAGTCAACATGGCATACATATTAGAGAGAGATTTGATAAGTGGAGAAGGATACTAGCAACTTTATATATAACAATGGCAATTAGTTCTCCACGAGGATGAATTCGCGGACGACAAAATTCCCAATCAAATCGATCGCCGTCGTTGAAACTATGTCGACAAAGGTAACGATGCCGACAAGATCACGGTTAGCGCTGGAAAGCATGGAAAGCATGGGGCAAATCGCATAGTCGAACGGGAGCTGAGCACTGGCAACACACGGGAGATTGGGCAAGCCTCGAAGAAGACTGGTCGAACCAGGAACAGTAATGTTAAATGTCCCGTTAATGCCTGTCGTGATTTGACCGACTGTGGTGGTTACACCGAGGTTATTCGTGCAGTTGAGGCTAATGAGGGCTCCGGAAACACCCTGTCCGGGGCAGTTTCCGGTTGGCGTGCAGCAGAGCTGCCCGCTTACGTTTAGGCCAGTCACATTCAACTGCAGGCTGTGGGCTAATGGGTTCGAGGCAGCAAAGACGAAGGCAATGAGTAAAAGGGCTAAACCGTGGTTGTGAGCCATTATATTGTTTTATTTTTTTTGAAGAGTGTTACTTGATGGTTTTCTTTGTAAAGCTTGTGGTGTTTGAAGGTTGAGAAAGAAGCCCTATTTATACAAGTTGACTTGGTTTTTGTGTTTATCATTTTTTTTTTTTTCTTATTTAGGTATGTATTTCTTGAAAGATTGAAGTGGTATTTTTATTTATTTATTTATTAATTTTTTATTTGGTACAAAGATTGAAAGTGGTATTTGATTTGTAGGGTGGGTTGCACTATATGCTACCCTCATCTATTTGAAAGTCAATTGCCCGTTTTTTCGCACCATGCCTTTGTCCAAATATCGACTTATATTGTAAATATTGTTTTAATAAAAACTCAAAAAATTCCATTCAAACTTAATTCAAGATAACCAATAAATAAATTCAATTAAAATTCAAATAACTTATATTTAATCACCCTTAAAATTAATTTAGATATTAGTTTGGGCTGAAAATGATGGGTATCAAATATATGACAGTTATCAGTTTTAGAAATTAATTTATATATCATCAGTTTGGGCTGAACATGGGTATCGAGATGTTATGGTACCGTTACGGAATCATTCAATTGAGTTTGTAACTGTTAGATCAACTATCCCTAACCATTACAAATCGCGATGAAATGATTATGTAACGAGATCGTAGCATTTCCCATCAAATATATGACATTTATCGGTTTTAGACAACATCGTTTTATATTCATCTTAACATGTGCTGAATGGCGGCTAAGAATGTAATTTAAAAACAATCAAATATAAAAAAAGACTGGAAAAAAAAGAAAAAAATTATGAATGACATAATCAAAGTTTATGTTCCGCTAGTCTCTTTTTTTTTTTTTTTCGAAACGACAGGATTTATATTGCTCAAACAAAATGTACAAACTCCCATACAATAGGCTAACTAGCCTTACAACATGCCCCCTAAGGTAAGGGAACCCCCCAAAGAGTAAGAACAACCACCTCAGATGAAAAGACTACAATCCTGGGTGCTGGCACTTACTCCTAATCACACATGACCATAGCCAGATGCTAGCAAAAAAGACTAACCACTGTCAACCACTGACCTAGCTAGACTTCAAAAAACTACAGCAAAAACCAAAACAAAGCCCAACAAAACCAAAAAAAACTAAGAATTCACCGCCAGAAAACTATCCCAATCTTGCATGGCTAGAGATATTGCGTCCTGCTCTGATCTCCAGATCTTCAAAAAAACCCACAGGTTCCTCGTCTTCCACATCCACCAAAGGATATAGGAAGATAGCTGCAGCCGAGCTTCAGAAGTAGGTGAGTTGCTGAGCAGACAAACTTGAGGCCACCATTGCTTAAAGTTGATTGTATTCTGCTGAATTCCATCCCAGGATACTGGAGAGAGTTTCCATATAACCTTAGCTCTTCTGCACTGAAAAAATAGATGATCTTGAGTTTCCAGCTCTTCTCCACACATCTTGCAGATCTGGTCAATCTCCAGTCCTTTCTTGCTTAAATTGCAGTTGACATGTAAGATATTGTTATGGCTTCTCCACAAAAAATGCTTAATCTTAGGCTTGATTTTCAGGTTCCAGCTTCTTGTTCTTGCTTTTCTAGCAGCTTTCTGATCACTGCTTGTTTCAGGGCAGTCCATGCTCATGTATTTATCATATATTAGCTTAGAGTAGGCTAAAGCAACTGAGAAGATTCCTTTAGCTGTCCATTGCCAAGAAATTCTGTCTTTGTGATGTGGATCCATGCCCCTAATGCTCAGAATTGCAGAGGCTTCATGAGCTGGAAAACATTCCTCCACTAACCTCTTGTTCCACCTTCTTCCTGATTCATCCAAGAGCTCTTTGACCCAAGTTAGTCTTGTGGTTGCAATATTTCCAGCTTGAGGTTTAAGGTTAGGAATATTTGGTATCCAGGGATGATCCCAAATTTTCACACTCTTCCCATCCTTGACATTGAATATCAGCCCACTTTTGAAGGAGTCCCTTTGTTTCAACCAGCTAGACCATAGCCAGGAGCTGCTATTTTTCTGCTTTGTTGTAAAGAAGTCTTCCTTAGGGAAGTACTTGGCTTTGAGAGTTTTGCTAACCAGGAGGTTGGGTTGGGTTAGCAGCCTCCACAACTGTTTGGATATGAGGGCCTTGTTGAAGGTGAGCAAGTCATGGAAACCTAATCCTCCAAGCTTTTTAGGAAGAGCAACCTTATCCCAAGCCTTTCAATGGATGCTATTGTTTCTGCTATTACTAGTCTTCCACCAAAATTTTGCAAATGTAGCAGCCAGGCTTTTTAGAACTCCAGTAGGCAACAAAAAACATGACATGGTGTAAGTAGGCATGGCTCCCAACACAACTTTAATTAGCACTTCCTTACCTGCAGTTGATAGGAATCTGTTTTGCCAAGTGGAAACTCTGGATCTCACAGCTTCTTCAATGTAAGCAAAAGTTGCAATCTTTGATTTTCCAATTCCCAGGGGAAGGCCAAGATAAGATGTTGAGCTCTGGATCTTTATGCCTAGCAGAGTGTTGCAGATATCCTCTTGAATTGACAGTGGTGTATTCTTGCTAAAGTATATTGATGATTTTTCCAAGTTGACTTGCTGACCTGTAATGGAGTTGTAACTTTGAAGAATTCTGATCAACACTGAAGCTTGATTCACTTCAACTTTAGCAAACACCAGTGTATCATCTGCAAAAAATAGGTGGGATAGGGTGGGGCTTCCTCTACAGATTTTTATCCCTTCCAAGTTCCCTTTAGAAATCTCACAATTGATCAAATAAGAAAGAATCTCAGAAATTAGAATAAAAATGTAGGGGGACAGTGGGTCCCCCTGTCTAATCCCTCTAGAGGGGTTAACAAAGCCACAGACTTCCCCATTAATGTTAAAAGAAAAGGATGCTGAGGAGACACACTGCAAAACCCACATAACAAAAGTATTGTTAAATCCCATTTTCAGCATTATAAGTCTAATGGAGTCCCATTCAACTCTATCAAAGGCTTTAATCATGTCCAGCTTAAGAGCCATATAGCATTTTTTACCAGATCTATGAGACTTAAGGAAATGGAACACTTCATGAGCTATAATCACATTGTCCATGATCTGTCTTTTTGGCACAAAAGCTGATTGGCATTCACTAATACAAACAGGCAAGCAAGGCTTTAGTCTCAGAGCAAGAATTTTGGATATAACTTTATAAATAACATTGCAGAGGCTAATGGGCCTGAATTGAGAGACTGAAACAGGACTCTTACATTTGGGAATTAAAGTAATAAGAGCATGGTTAAGGCTTTTAAGAAGCCTCCCTGAAGCAAAAAAACTATTCACAGCTTCACAAACATCATCTTGAACTATGGACCAGAAAGATTGAAAAAATAAGGAATTCATACCATCTGGTCCTAGAACTTTGTGGGGGTTATTGCTAAACATAGCTTCTCTGATTTCTTCAGAAGTAACAGGTGCCACTAGATCTGAGTTTAACTCTTCTGATATGACTTCTCTGATTCCATTGATTAGGCCATCCCCAGTGATTGTGCCTTCTGATGAGAAGAGTTTATGATAGTATTCCTCAATGCAGTTTGCTATATCTTCTTGGCTTTCCCAGAATGTGCAATCTTCTTTAATAAGTCTATGGATTTGATTCTGCTTTCTTCTACTGGCTGTGTGCGCATGAAAAAATTTAGAGTTTTTATCCCCATGCTTAAGCCAATTAATTCTAGACTTCTGGAGCCAATATTTTTCCTCCCAACTGTAGGCATCATTTAGCTCCTTCTTCATCTTATCCCATTTTGCCCAGTCTCTCAGCCCTCCTTCTTCATTCATGTCAGCCAATGCCTTACTGAGAGTTGCAATTTTCTGAGCATTCTCTGATTTAAAAGTGCTGCTTCACTTCAACAGTTGGACTCTTGTTTCTCTAATTTTTGATTAAAGAGAAAACATAGGAGTGCCTTCTTGAGGTTTAGACCAGGCCCTGGTGATTTGATCTTGAATCCCATGCTTCTCAACCCATCTTGAGTCAAAATGAAATCTTTTTTTCCTGGAATGATTTTCAGCTGAGCTGCATAGGAGGAGCAGGCTGTGGTCAGAAGAACTTCTAAAAATGTTGGTAACTTGTGCACCCTGATTAGCAGACATCCATTCCAGTGAGCCAAACATCCTATCAATTCTTTCTTGCACAAACCCTTCCAATTCTCTGTTATTTCCCCAGGTGAATGGGTATCCTACCATCCCAATTTCCAGCATCCCCATGTCACTTATGAAAGCATTGAAGTTCTGGCATGAGGCTACTGATCTAGCTTTGCCCCATTTTTTTTCATCAGGTTGAGAGATGTCATTGCAGTCCCCTCCAAGAAACCAGTAGTCACCCCAGCTGCTCTTTCTAAAGATAAGATAACTCCATTGACTCTGCCTCTCGTTCTTGTCTGTGCTGGCATATAAGAATATCCCCCAGCCCACTTTGGACTTGACTTCATCCCAGTACTCAATCTCTATGCAAAAGGAGGATTTAAGAATCTTGAAAATTTGGATGTTATCATCCCAAAAGAGAAGGAGTCCTCCACTTCTGCCCATAGGCTCCACAGAGGTCCAACTATTTACAACCCCCAAATTTCTACAAATTGTCTCCACAAAAGCATTTTTTTTCTTAGTTTCAGAAATAAAGAAAAAACTCGAGTGATGGAGCCTACAAATCTCCTTGATTTGGGAAACTGTAGAGGGGCCACCCACACCTCTACAGTTCTACACCGCAACCTTCATTTAGACAGTTGGGGCCATTTAGGGCTGGCCTTCTCCACCTCATCATTCAATCTCTGTTTCTTTTCTGGCTGCTGAGCATTTTCAGTTGTCTCCATTCCAGCTGTTACATTCTCAGATGATAGCTGCCTCTTGTTGCTGGTCTGCTTAGGCTTGAGAGGTTCTTCTATTATTCCTGTCACTTGCCTCCTTTTCCACACTGATTGCTCTGGTCTTATCCTGCTGAGAATACGAGAGAGAAGATGGTTTATGATTAAGGGTTTGGTCTGGGTTTGGATTGCTTGGGTTTGAATTTGGGATGGAAATGTTGGGATTGATAGTCTGCATTTCTGTTTCCATATTGTGTGAAACTGCGATAGGGTGTTGTTTATTGGCTGAGGGCATAATGTAATTTGCTGAGTTTGGATCAGTATCATTGGCTTTTATGGTTTGGCAAGGAGTATCAGGGTTAGGGTCATTATAGATGTCTTTTTTCTTTGAATGAGCTTGGGGAACTTTGGTGTCAGTTTCCATGTTAGTGTGGGCAATGAGAGAGGGTTGTTGGTTGGCTAAAGGTGTGGTTGAATATATCATGGGTGATTCAGGGTTCTCGGTTTGTTGTGGTATTGGAGAAGAAACAACAGTTAGGGCCTTATTAGAGGGTGTATTGGCAGATGGAGATTTAGTAGCAAGGTTTAAATTGACTTGGTTAATGTTTTGGCTTTGAGAGGATGTAGCCGGGGATTGGGAAAATTCTCTGGAGTTAATGTTGTTGAAGGCAGCACTCTGAGTTGAGTAATACACTATATCCTGCGCTTTCAACCATTCCCCATAAAGGCCTTTCGTAAGACATCCATTGGCAATGTCAGTTGCTCTTTTCTCACAGCTTTTGTCAAGGTGTCCCAGGTAGCCACAATAAAAGCAGCAGTTAACCAGCCTCTCGTATTTGAATTGGATTTGGATTCTGGTCTCCCCCATTTTCAAGTATGTGCACCTGAGCAAGGGCTGGTTCACATCGACAACCGCCTTAAGTCTTAAGCATTTTCCTGCCAGAGGACCAACTTGAGGGACCGAGACGTCTATGATTCTTTTAAAAACTCTGCCAATTTTAACTCCCACTTCAGTGGATATCCAGTGGATAGGGATATTCCACGCTTGAATCCAGATTTCGATTTCTTGGAAGCATGGGTGTTCCGCAGTAATGCCTTTCTCCCATGGATGCAGCTTTAAGAACTGGTTTTTATAAGTCCAGTTGATGCCTTTACTCACCTTTTCTTTATCTTCATTGTCCGCGAAGATAAACTGGAAGAAGTTATTCGAGATTTCTCGCACCGTAACTGTAGCCTTTATATACCACATTTGACTGATAGCCCTTCTGAGCCCTATGATATTAGCTTTCCTCTGTCCCATTATTTTCCCAAAGAGACTTCTTGAGCATTCCTCCTCACTGTTCTGCACATCATCCCGCTCAATTTCGACTTCTTCATTTTCCATCCCTTCTAATTGGATGGATTCCAGTTTCTCTGCCAGAGCGTCTCCCATTATGCCTCTCAGATCTAGCGGCACTTGAAAC